GAAAAAAAAACGCAAACCACCGAGATTCTAAGTGGCTGATGAATTGAAATGCATTTACTTTTACCTGTATTCATGATGGCAGCAAGACCCATTTGCTACACATAAGAGAAGGATGTTGGTTCCATGCAGGAACTTAAGAGGATGCTACAAATAAATGGAGTAAGAGTGAGGCAAAAAAAAAAAAAAAAAAAAAAAAAAAAAAAAAAAAAAAAAAAAAAAAGTGATACTGTGAATATTTAGGAGGACACCAAAACCAGGTTATTAAAGAAGTTTTTGATAGGGTAGAAGACAAGGAATTTTAAATAGTGCAGACAATTACAACTAGGGAAAACAGAATATCAAACACAGCTTTTTAGGAAGTTTCAAAATTATTCCTCACCTATTAAGTCTTTGGTCATCAAGGCTGTGATCAGCTGAATGAAAGTACAGTATAAATCTCTAAGAAACATGCAAAAAGTATGCCCTCTACCTAGTAGTTCAACATGCAAACAAAAAGAAAATAATATTTTTTGCTTGCAAAATTATCAAAGACTTAAGAATGTAACATGCCCTGCTGATGAACTTTTCTGGGAAACAGTAGGAAAATGTATATCCAATATTTCGGAAAGTTTCACTACATTTGACTTAGCTGTTCCCCTTTTGGGAATCTAATAAATAAGATTACATACAATAATATTTGTTACAACATATTAAAAGGAAAGATAAATTAGAAATTTGAACTCTTTCAAGTGGTTAATGTATGTATTAGCATACATTTGGATGGGATGTATGTTAGTATTAAAATATTAAAAAAAAATATTTTCAGGAAAAATGCCTCCTAAAGTGGGATGCAGTCATAGTGAGGGAATATGCAAGGGTTCAACATTATACATTACAGATCAATTTTGTGAACATGAATAAGGTACTAGCAGGAATTATGTCTTATACTGAGTTTCTATCGGTATGGTGGGATTCTCAGGTATTAGACATCTGGATGTTTTAAATTATCTCCAATAAGCATATAGTGCTTTTATAATTGAAAAATATTATTATCAATTATTTCTCTACTCCATGAGACTGCATCTTCCATTTCTCTGTCTCCCTGTGAATTGGCATTTCAGCAGTGAAGAGACCCGCTCTGGTAGTCCTAGACTCTCACAGCTGCTGACAGCACCAGCCCTCACCAGGGGACGCTCCGCCCCCAAACCATGCTCAGCATGGAAAGGACACAAGGGCAAGCAACAAGTACCAGTGACATCATGGATGCATCTGACAATGGAACATGACCCGGATTCAGTGTCTGGACAGGCTAGAGCCTGTTCAAATGGCCAGGGCAATGTCCTCTATCAGCCTTCTCCTGGCTGATTTCAGATAGATTCCCTTTCTCCTTGTGTCTTCTCTGCGATTCCCAGTGGACAGGTAGACTTCGAAGAGTAAATGACCTGGAATTAGGGCCTGTTACAGATACAAAATCTTTGAGCTGAAAGGGATCCTAAGGTCACTTTCTTCAATCCTCACATGACTTGAGAATCTATACAGAAGTGGGCATTCAGTCTACCCTCATAGTAGAAGGAAACACTCCCTTTAGAGGCTGTTATGGACTGAACTGTGTTCCCCCAAATTCATATTTTGAGACTCTCTCAATGTGACTATATTCGGAAATGGGACTTTTGAAGAGGTGATTAAGGTTAAATAGATCACAAGGGTGGGACCCTAATCCAACAGGACTAGAGACCAGGTAAGAAGGGTCTGCGCTCACAGGAGAAAGACCTTGGGAGGACGTGGTGAGAAGGCAGCTGTCTGCTAGCGCAGGAGAGAGGCCTCGAGAGAAACCAAACCTGCCAACACCTTGATCTTGGACTTCTAGTCTCCAGAACTGTGAGAAATAAATTTCTGTTGTTTAAGCCAGCCAGTCTGTGGTATTTTGTTATGGCAGCCCAAAAAAGAACAACACGGGTGCTCTGGGGTTTGCAATCAGGCTTTGGTCACCCTGTCAGTGTTGTTCAGAGGAAAAAATACAATCATATATAATAATTTGTAATAATTATTTATGTAAATATGTAATGTTTATATATTATGTAACAGTCACATGTGGTGTAAATATTTGCATATTTACATGATGTGTTTATGTTAATATGTTGATAATTTACATATTTACATAAAACATTTACACATTATGGGAATGTGTAATAATATATAAGATTTATTTATGAAGAAAATAAGATAATATGTAATAATTTGAGTAACAGAATGTGGAAAGAATGAAAGCATGGCCTCTGGGGCCAATCAGATCTAGATTTGAAGTGGTTCCTCTGATATGGGTTAGAATTCCTTAACCTCCCCAGGCTTGGTTTTACTAGCTCTAATGTTAGAACAATCATGCATGCCTTTGAATCCCATCATAATGTTATTGGCTTCCTTTCTCTCCTTTGTGTTGCGGTCTCAATGTGCCTTGTATCTTCTGCTATTTGGGGATGAGAACAGCAAGAAATCCAGTTGCTTATTAGAAGCCAAGAAGGCTAGAGTAAAAATATAATAATAATAATAATAATAATACCTAAGATTTAATCTTTAAAAATCTACATTAAAAATGAGAACCATTAAAGAATCTCTTATCTCTGTGGCTGCAGAAGATGGTTGTGGACACTACAAAAATATCTCACTTTCTTTACATTGTATTCTATTTGGGGGCATCTATCGTACTGATCCACTATGTTAACATTTGCCAAGATTTTTCACTGTAGACACTAGTCATGTGGTTCTGTTGATGCTTCAATCAAACAAAATACAGAATTCATAGCATTTTGGAAGTAGTATTGGAAATCAATGTGAATGCTGGGCTCCTGTCGTCCCTATACTGCTCTTCTGACTGTGCACAGCATCACCACATACGGCCTTCTGCATAATTTGGAAATAGTCAAGGTTTACATTTTGAGACCTGCCGTCAGCCACACAACTTCCCATTGGACTGGGCCGGCACTCATGTCTACCCATGGAAGGTATCTTAGTTTCTTTTTCTACTTTTCTTTTTCCTTTTCTCTGTAACTTTTTCTTTCCCACCATACTCCTACCCTCCTGAATTTCCCCTTTGCTAGCTTTTTCTGTTCCCAGCAATCACCCAACTTTATTCATTCATTTATTCAACACTGTCTATACCCACTCTGTGATAAATCCTAGAGATACAGTAATGAACTAGACACTTATAGTCATGTCTTTGAAGCTTGGGGTTCAGAAGGACAAACTGACAGGTAAATAAGTACCCTTATTCAAAGATAACACACACAAAAAAGAGGGGGCACACAGGTTCCCAAAGAGCATATCTTCATTAGATCAACTCTTACTTGGGAATCAGAGAAGGCTTCTCAAAGGAAATGTCTTTACTGGGCCTAAAAGATGTGTTTTCCTATTATGCATGATGACATTTTTTGTGTCCTACAGAAGTGTCTTATATTAATTATTAACTCATGTGTATAGTTCACTCCATAAAACATTTTCATTTTATTTGAAGTAATTTCTTTGGTCTGTAATATTTAATTAAAATAATGCTTTCAGATATTGTTCGGGTAAGATTAGTCCATTTTTTTTAAGATTTTATTTATTTATTTGTCAGAGAGAGAGAGAGAGCACAGGCAGACAGAGTGGCAGAGGGAGCAGCAGGCTCCCTGTGGAGAAAGGAGCCCGATGTGGGACTTGATCCCAGGACGCTGGGATCATGACCTTAGCCGAAGGCAGCTGCTTAACCAACTGAGCCACCCATGCGTCCCAAGATTAGTCCATTTTTTAAAAGTTTAAAACATGAATTCTGTATTCTACAGGAATTAAGAGTATTCTCTTTACTAAGTGCTAAGAACATGTTAGGTGTCTTATTTATAGCTCTAGTTCTCTTTAAAATCTTGAAAACCATAGTTGTTGCCATTTTACAAATTCAGAAACTAAGTCTCAGAAGGAAAGTAACTTGTTTTAAAACCACATGCTTTCCATCACAGCCAGAATGTTTGGATTGGTATCAAAATCCCACTTGTGGGCTGTGTAATTTTGCAGATATTCCGTAATCTTTCTCTGCCTCAGTTTCCTCATTCATAACCTGGGGGTACTATTCATACTTACTCCTAGAGCATTTATTACAGAACTCTATCCAACTTCAAGGAATAAAATATTAAAGTAATAGCTCTTTTTTTAAAAAATAATATATCATGTCTCTTGAAGGTTCTCAGTCTAGAGAGGACCCAAAAAAATGTAAACCCTGAGGCTGCCACTGGGTAAATGCCATAGCTCTGTCCACAAAGACCTCATCCCCACATCTCTGTGTCTCCTCCTGAAGCCACAAGCACCAACAGAGGAGGGCCAGCGTGCTGCTGATTCTCTATTACAACCTTAGCAGCTGGCATTAGTGTAGAGGACTGAATAAATAATGAATCCTGTCTCTATCTCTCCCTGGTTGTGACCTTTCATGAAGAATGTCATATCTCTAGACCTCAGTTTTTCCTCAGTCAATATTTGATTCATGATGTCTTACCAGATAGTCACATATAGTATATAAAATGTTATACAATATATAGCCACTAAAATTACTACACAAATAAGCATGATTCAGATACCAGGCAACAAGACATAAAACAGGCATCTTGCATTTTATGAGTTTTCAGCAATTTACTTCATTTTACTTGAGTGTTGTCACACGTTATAGTGTGATTTCAACATATATACTATGTTTCTTCTCAAATGGCCCCAAATTCATACGACACTGAGTCACACATCTGAGTCTTAATATTATCCTGCATTCATGAAGATGTGAAAGTAGGTAACTCATGTGACAGTAGAATTTGTTTGATATGATATTGACTCAACCGGGCATGGTGAGTGGGACTAGGAACCACTCAAGGGGACCAAATGACAGGAGACAGAATAAGGACCCCAATTTTAAAGACCACACTTTCAGACAATTACAGACTACATCTATCTGCAATATACATAGTCTAACATAGACGAGAACTATTTACCAATAGCTATAGGAGTCTTACCTGTGGCCGTGTAGTTCTTTTCACTGCCCGAATAGACTAGCATCCCATTCATATATAAAGAGTACTGAGTTATAATACCATTTGCGTTTTTGGGTGGATCCCAGGATAGTAACAAAGAATTGGGAAGAGATTTGGCTACTGGTGGCTGAACTTCCTGTGGGGCTGTGGGGGGGAAAAAGATTCATAGAGTCTAATTTTAGTTTACTTTTCTAATTCAAACTTTTCAGACCTAAACCAATAAATCATGAAATAAATCTGATATTCCATGCATAGAAATATTTCTGATTCATGGGGAACTTGTCAGTAATTGCTTTAGGAACAGTACTAAATAACTGTCCTGAATTTATGAGAATTTGCATTAATGATGGATGGGGAGTATTACCCTAGTTCACTTGACTGATGCTTGCATTACTTCATCAAGAGTATTATTAACCCGTAATCTCTACTTGGGGCTGTGCCTATTAAAGCAAATTAAACAGAAGGAGTCCCTACCCTTGAGGAGCTTTTGATCTAAGGTGGGCAATGCTGGGGAGGGTGGTTCATAATAGATACGAAAAAACTTATGTGTTTCTGTAGAATTAACCAGCAAGTACAGAATCAATTGAGTTAATTATAGATGAAAATGACACTGTAAGTTTGTTTTTCTCAAATAAGGTTCTGTTCATTTTCTATAATGGTGAATAAATCGGATTCACAGGAACTTAAAGTTTAAAATATGGACCCTAAATACATCTTTGGTTTGGTACATTGGCTGTAACTTTAAGAAAAAGCTGGAATTTGGGAATTCCTTAATTAATGAAGAGGGAATGGTGAACTGGGCCATTAGGAATCCCTCTGGGATAAAGCTGTGAAGTAGGTTTTAGGCAAAACCTGGACAGAAAGGGTAGGGGGCATCCAGAAAATAAGGATGCTTGTCCCACACTGAGGCTGGTGGAAGCGTTTGAAAAAGAAGACCATCACATGGGTCATGGGGCGCAGCAGAAGCAATGCCCCAGTAAGAGAAACAGGCTTAACTCTCCACAGGCTTGACTAAGAGAACCCTGAGAAAACATGGATGACAGGTCACTGATGGCGTAGTCCAGGTGAGGAGGCTTTCATTGGGGCAAGGTCACATGAAGGATTTCACAGACCCCCCTAACCTGGTTCATCACATGAGCCACTGTCTTTCTCTTTCATGTCTTCTGTGTGACAGGTACTTGCTAAAGGATTTGCAAGAGGGAAGGGGAAACAGGGAGTCAGGAAAGAGGACGGACGGATGCTGAGGAACAGTGACTGGCTGACTCTTCCCCAGAAGATCAAGCTTTTCAATCTCCTAAATAACTTGACAGCTAGAGAGTAGAAGCGATGTGTAATTCCTCTCATCCAGGAGAGGGAAATATGAAGTAACAATGCTTCCAGTGTTTGGAGGGCTGTTATTTCTTGAAGCGATGCGTTCTGATGCTTGAGCAAAGCTTTCACTTCAGAGTGCTAAAATATTTTCTCTTTCTCACTGCCTTCCTAACGTATGCTTGCTGAAACATTAATTTATGCCAACAGTTTGTAAATTCCAAGTACAACAAAAGTGAGACTTCAGTCAGAAGGAACGGAGCAGTGATTAATAATGCCTCAACCAGCACTTCGAGGCTCCATCATACTGAAATAATTGTTGCCTGTGCTGGTGTTTAGCAGTTCAAAGAGACCATGGAAATCAACCGTTTGATTCTCAATTTCATACTGTGCCGTACAATCAATTCTTTTTAGTCAGACTGTCTCTAGATTTACTTCTGAGCCATAGTAAAATGAGGAAGCTTTCATTAATCTTTCAGATGCTTCATATTAATGACAAGGCTCTTGCATGAACAATGTAACAGCAATTAAAAAGCCCATTAATCTGCATTACAGCTATTAAAGATGCATGTCATTAAAGGGTATGGAGTTTGATTCATTTTCGCACCCCCCCAAAAAATGGAGCAATTATGGCCTGGCAATGCACTTTGTCATCAAATTAGGTTGGGGTTTTCCAGCAAATGGCCTTGCAGCATTTAGCTCTTCTCCTATTTTATTATTCATAACTGAAATGTGGAAGTCAAGACCTTTGAAATTACTTTACCTTCTTGTGGAGTAGAGATGTTCAATGCCTCTGAGCTCTCGGTACAGCCAGCCAAAGTGCAAGCAGTTAGGGTTACTGCATAGTTTTTGAAGGGTAGCAAGCCTGTCACTATGCCTATAATAAAAGGGGGAAAAAGGAGGTTTGTGTGTTTACTGTAAGCAGCTATAAAGAGCAGTGTGTGTGTGTGTGTGTGTGTGAGAGAGAGAGAGAGAGAGAGAGAGATGTAGAGACACAGAAACAAACAAAAAAAATATGCCCCTTTAATTCATTTTCCTGCCTGTGTGCTGATTACAGAACAGAGTGACTAGCAAAAAAAAAAAAAAAAAAAAAAAAAAAAAATGAGACCAACTTATTGTTAAAACAACTTGAAACAGCATTTTCCCAAATGTGCACCTCAGAACATTAGTGCCCTGAGATGTTCCCCTGCAAAGATGGGTTTCCATACATAGTTCATGAAGCAGAGCACCGTGTATCTGATAGTTAAGATGCATATTATCCTATTCTAGGATTCTAGACCTCCTGCAGAATAAAACTATTCAATTTTCTCTAACCTAGCATTTTTCAACCTTATTCAACGAGAGTCCTTTTTACATAGCATCTATTAACACACTTTAGGAAATGCTAATCCCAAGAGTGGCTTCATTACTTTTAACGGTAGGATACACATATACAAACTATTTGTTCATGTTACAACTAACAAATATGCAAATCAACATAGTTGAACAATTAGCAAATTAGATAATTATGCTTTTGTGCTTCTCCTTGCAAAATTATTAGTTTATTTAATTAAGACACCTGTCTTAAACAGAAGTGGTACACATGGAGGTGTTGAATTAACTTGGCTTGGTGGTGAATATCTAAGATTTGTTCAGCAATTAAAAGTACCTGTAGAAATGAAAGCACATTTTGTTTACTAATGTTCATAATCAAGGCAGAAGCTCTTTATTTACTTGATCCCAGGAATTAAAGAAGTATCAAAAATATAATTTATATATTTGTTCATTGTTTTTTACTGTGGACATTTTTCAGTTGCCTGTAGTCCTAACCACATAGATTGTCAACACTCTTTTTTTTTTTTTTTAAGATTTTATTTATTTATTTGACAGAGAGAGACACAGAGAGAGAGCGGACACAAGCACGGGGAGTGGGAGAGGGAGAAGCAGGCCTCCCGCTGAGCAGGGAACCTGATGCAGGGCTTGACCCCAGGACCGTGGGATCACAACCCAAGCCAAAGACAGAGGCTTGCTCAAGGACCGAGCCACCCAGGTGCCACGATTATCAATACTCTTAGAAAAAAAGATGGTCTCAGTCATGATATCCCTTTATTTTGTAAACCTTCAGTAGCCTAGAGAATGTATTAGTATTTAAATATGCCGATACTGGTAACACCTGCATCCTTCAAACACAAAATTTAACAGATCTGTTTTCCTAGTCCCTCTCCCTAATAGAAATTTCTTAAAAAATCAAATGAGCAAAGGCCAGAGCTATTGTCTACTTGGGCTCTTCCCATGTGTCAGTCCCCAGTGACGGCTCGGCTGCCAAGCCTTCATTCTAACAGCTCCTCAAGCACTGCTCTGGGCCCCTGAGCCCTCTCTGCTGCACTTGGCACCGTCACCTTAGCTCTTGGCCAAAGAAGACACTGAGACAGTGACCTAATACACACACACACGCACACACACGCACGCATGACTCCCTCATGCCAAATTCAGCTCCCTCTAATCTGGAACCAGCCTCACATCCTAATCTTCTCCTTTCCTTTATTCCTGCCACAGGGACTGTTACTTCTTCTCGAACTTCCCAGACCATGACCCACATTCCAAATTTGCTTTAAGAAGTTCTTTGTCCAGGGGGGAGCCTGTGTGGCTCAGTGGGTTAAGCCGCTGCCTTCGGCTCAGGTCATGATCTCAGGGTCCTGGGATCGAGTCCCGCATCGGGCTCTCTGCTCAGCAGGGAGCCTGCTTCCCTCTCTCTCTCTGCCTCCCTCTCCGTCTACTTGTGATCTCTCTCTGTCAAATAAATAAATAAAATCTTTAAAAAAATAAAAAATAAAAAGAAGCTCTTTGTCCGGGAGCCTGGGTGGCTCCGTGGGTTAAGAAGTTCTTTCTCCTTCCACTAGATGTCTTAAAAGAAAGCACACATTGCCACCTACACATCTCATCATGCGGTGGTGAAGTGGTCAAGCAAATAGACACCGTGTTTGCCTGGATCCAAACACCAGTTCTGCTACTGACTTGTTGTGTGGGCTTGGACGAGTTGTTCAGATCTCTGTGCCTCAATTTCCTTAACTGTAAACAGTTAAAAGAATACCTGCCTTGAAAGAGAGGTCTCAACTCTCAACTGTGAGTTGGGGGCAGTAGAGAACTTAGCTCATAGAATTACTAACAAGATTAAATGAATTTAGGAGTGTAAAGTGCTTGACACAGAGCTCTGTAAAGAGAGAGATCTAACAGAGGCTGTGTCAGTCCAAGCCGTTACTACTGCAACCCAGTTTCCTGCCCACACTGTGCCACTAAATCCCGATTTCTATCTTTTAAAGATCACTAGTAATCTCCAAATGTCAGATCAAGTCACCCTTCCTCAAATCCTTATCTTCCCTCTACTTACGGGGCTTTGACTCCCTCAGCTCTCTCTGTGCCACCGAATTTCCCCAGTTGTTTTCCTTAGCTCTTGAGAGCTACTTTCTTTCCTTGACCTGATTAGCTCTCTTCCCTTTGGAGTCCTTTAAATAGCTCTTGTTCTACAAGGTAGTATCTTCAGGCTTCTTTCTTCTTCTAAACACTTAGCATTGTGAGTTCATCAAGCCCCGCCTCTCATTTGCGTCTACGGACTTCACATCTCTCCCCAGCTCTGGTTCTGCATCTCTACCTGCAGTTCATATACCCCATCTGGATGTCCCACTAGCATTTCATTCTCAATATGCTCCAGATCCAGACCTGACAGCCTCATCTATTTCATAAGCTTTGTTTTCCCATTTCTTGATGTTTCACCACAATCCCAAAAGTCCAGACTCAAAACTAAAGTAACCTTGTGAGATACATTTCTAGCCATTTTATCCTTCAAAAATATCTGGTATCTGTCAGCACTAGCTGAGGGCAGGGGTAGAGGGAGAAGCAACCTCCTTGCTGAGCAGGGAGACTTATGGAGGTTCCATCCCAATCTCCTGGGATCAAGACCTGAGCAGAAGGCAGATGCTTAACCAACGGAGCCACCCAGATGCCCAAGATTCAGCACCTTCCCCCCCTCTTGTCAGATTACAGTGAGTGGTTGGGAGGGGGCCGGTTAACCAAGCCACCTTCCCCAATTCAGAACAAAGTCAGATTTTTGTTTGGGACATGTGGTTTACATCTTGTTTCTCAATATGGAGTGTTTATGAAGATGGATTAAAGTTGATGGTTATGAGAAGTTCTGCTGTCACCAAAGAAAGAGGGTAAGTATGTTCTCCCTGATATTAATTAAGATAGTTTTCTTGGAGATCTAAATCCATAGAGATCATTGAGTTACTGGCCTAGTGGCCTCATTTGAAGAGTCAGAGTCTTACTTAGATTATACACTCTCCTGAAAACAAACAAACAAACAAACAAAAAAACCCCAAAACAAAGAAAAAAATGGTAGTACTACTACGATAATATATCATCATCTAAAAATATTCCCATTTCTTTTTCTCTATTCTTCTGGGAAAGATGCTATAGAATACATATGATCTTTACAAGGTTTCAAAGGCTCCTAATGATAACAGTAATACATACGTTAATACATAAAACAGAATTCTTGTGTATATGACAAGTGGACAAGGGCATTTGTAAGATCTGGACTTCTTAGTCCAATGTGATAGAAGATCTAGATTTAATTAAAGACAAAGAGAAAGAAGGATATTAAAAATAATACTGAAAAATATATAGTGGGACATATTTCAAAGGAGTCCTAGGCAGAAGAATACTGCATATATTCTGCATATATATTTCTGTAGAAAACCCAGTAAGAGAGGATGTCCAGGTAGCTCAGTCAGTTAAGGGTCTATCTTCAGCTCAAGTCATGATCCCAGGGTCCTAGGATCAAGTCCTGCATTGGGCTCCCTGCTGGGCAGGAAGCCTAATTCTCCCTCTCCCACCCCTCCAGCTTGTGTTCCATCTCTCACTATGTATCTCTCTGTCCAATAAACAAATAAAATCTTTAAAAAAAAAATTAAAAAAAAGAAAACCCAATAAGAGAAAGTGGGGTAATCTCCTTTTATGACACCTGGGGTATTTAAAATAAAGAAGTATATCCTGACAGTGAGAAATGTTAAGATTGGCTGGGATAGGAGTCTCTTTCTTTGAGAGATATCACAGAGGAGCCTTTTTTCCCTTTGAATTTCAAACCGTCCCTAACTCCAGGCCAGCCAGATGACCTCTCAAATTCCCTTTCAGCCACAAAACTCTGTGAAATCAGAAAATGGTCCCAACCATGTCAGGAAACCTGCCAGTCCCTTTTGATAATGGAAGAGGATGAGCTGAAAAAAAAAACATTCAATAAGCATAAAGTAAGCATTATTGATGTCTTAAAAGTGTTAGTATCCCAAGAAACACAGGAGTGTTGGTAACCAGATTAAAATCATTGGCACCAGCAGGACCAGAACTCTCACTGCTAAGCGATAATGCATTTTACATTAATGCTTAACATTGAGAAATCCTGACATGCCACACCAAGGGAGTTTGAAGTAAAGTAAGTATATTCCCTTTGAATTGCAGTCCTGTGGGCCTTGGTGCATGCAGAAAGCCACAGCTGAAAGAATAGGGACAGGGACTTCATTTCCGGGAATAAAGCACATCAGAGAAGAAAGTTCCAGAGTCCTGGTGACTCCAAACTCTGTGCTCTGAGGATTTCCACCTAGAGAACCTTGTCCTGGAGAACCTTGAAATTTAAAAGTCCCTCAAAATGATTTAGGGAACTCCTTGAGTGCAAAGGACATGTCCCTTTCCTTCTTGACTGGTCCTGTTTTCCAGAAGCTTTTAAATGGTTTACCAAAGCTGCCACTTGATGCCTGACCGAAAAACGAAGACTTTTCCTACTGCTTAGTATCACTGGGCCATCTCCCCCACTAGAAGGGACCCCCCCCATTCCCATTCTACACTTTC